CCAAATTTTGTTGCACTAATTTCTGGACACTCTCTATAATAAAATATCCCTAACCTATCCCGATAATTACAGATATTATTTATTGTGAAATCGGGTAGTATGGGGGCAACATCCAATTTTGTTGACCCGACCTTTTGGTAAAACCAAGCTGGACGTGTGTAGTCCGTCCGTATTAACACTTCTTTCATCTTACTATAATCGTAAAAATACTATTTAAAACAAAACATGTTTACTTTGTGCTACTATTTCAGACCGAAAATAAATAAAAAGATTGCCTTTTCAAACGCTATTATCACGTTGGGCTTTATTTATTCTAAAAATGCTAATTAGTTTGTTGTCTTCAGTGTTATTGCTGGCAAATATTTGCTAATAGTTTTGTCGGTAGCTTTATAGCTATACTATCGAATCGTTATTTACCTTGAGCTTGTTTGATTTTAGGCTGGGTATTATGTAGAACGTGCCACGAGATAATTTTTAGATTTTATTTTAATCTCTGTAATAAAAAAGTGGATAGACGATCTGTTTTAATATATCCATTGTTACAGATAGAATTTGCATTATATGTAATTTTTTTTTAATTATTGCTTTAGGTAAAGTTTCACTTCGGTGGTAGTTTTGCTTTTATTTTGGTTAAAAATGACACAAGAAAATTTAATCTGTTGGTCTCGGCTATATGTCAAATTTGAAAAGAAAAAATAAAATTACTAAAAAATGGTTCTTCTGACCGAATTTTGAAAAAAAAAGATGATGACGTAGTGGTACAGCTGGCGTCTACCAATCTAGAGGTTTTGGGTTCGAATCATGCAGCTGAATCCACAGCCGATTGTTTCTAATAAAATGTAAATAGCTTGGGTCTCTGAGCCCTAAATGAGTACTTGATTTTCACAAACGAGAGGCGTTAAAGTGTAATACCTTCCTTTATACTAAAGACATAGTGGATACTATTATTATTATGATATGAAAAAGTTGTTTAAATTTTAATTTCACAAGTTATACAAATTTTCAATCATATAATGTAGTTGAAAAAAGAAAATTTTCTTATATTTAGCCAATAGCAGCCCCTTTCTCGGGCTAAAAGTCTGCAGCAAAGACCTTTTTGAGACAGATTGAACTTGTTCAGATAACACTTGATAGTCATATGTCCTGTCAAGACTGTAAAGGTAGATTCAGATACTGTCTGAATCATGTTTTGGCTGCAAACTGGTAATATTGTTGGAAATTTTTCAAAAACGTCAATAATTTATCGGAATCGTTTATAGACATTCTATATTAGTTTCTACTTTTTTAATTTTTTAATGGTTAATTCTCATTTATTGCACTAAATTGTGATATGCCCGTTGCTGCTTTCTCTTTTACTTTTTAAGGCAAAATTTTTACAAGAAAACATATTTTTTGATAAAAATGAAACCTATTCATTTTTCCAATAAATTCAACTAAATATATGACCGCTAGATGAATATTTCACTGGAAAATAAACTACCGTCACAACAACCGTTCTAAAGGTATTTAGAACGGTAAAATGTATTGACATTACGACTTTATATTTGCTTCTACTTTGAGAAACGGTTGTTATTGATTAGAAAAGATAAAAAAGGTGCCCGGTGGCGTGGGGTATATACAGCTCTCGTCTACCAACCTCAAGGTTGTCGGTTCGAATCCTTCAGCCGGCATTTCATCAGCCGACTATTTTTAATAAAATAAAAATAGTTTGGGTACCTAGGTCGACTCAGCCTTAAATGAGTACTTGGGATTCACAATCCTGAGGTAATAGTAGGCAGTTGAAATGTAGTGCTAGCCACATTACCTTCCTTTGTATACCGAACGGCTCTATACAGGGTGTCCCAGAAATAAGTGCAACTATTTTAAGGGGTGGTAGATCTCGATAAAAGAAACATATTTTCTCTTTACCGTTTTTCAAATAAGTCCAAAATAACGGAGTTACTTTACTTTGAAAATTTCCAAAAAAAATATTTTTTGATTAAACTTTGAGAACCACTGGATCTTTTCTGGATTTTCTTTCTTGTAAATTTAAACTACTACCTATGCTACCATATTATCAAGAAATTATATTTTTTAAATAAAAACTAAAAAAATTTCCAAAAAAATTTTCAAAAATTTTTTTTTGCGAAAAAAACCTCATAGGCGTATTTCTGGCGTTGAACTATACTACCAGTTAAAATATTTGCACTTATTTCTGGGAAACCCTGTATATCATGGCAAGCTGTACCTTGCTACTCCCAAGGCTATATGCGGGAGCTATTATTATTATATAAAAACGATAAAACAAAATTATTCCATCTACATTATGTCCCCGGATTGCATTTACAAGAGGAAAAACTTTTTTATTATTGACAATTTCGGAAAACTGCATTCTCCAAAAAAAAAATTTGCTGTTTCTAAAATGGTTAATCCCGTTTATACTTTATTTTCAATCAATATTCAATTTTCATACCGTTTTAGAGGAAATTAAAAAAAAAACATAAAAATAAAAAGGCATTTCAAAAAAATCAAAAGGCATTTCTATGGTAATATAAATTCGTTTTCATTCTTTTTTCCATAGCAACTGTTAAAATTGCCTTATATCCAAGTAGATTATTTTCTTTTATCTATGCTTATATCTATCAAAAATAGTAGATAAAATAGTACTGTGTGATCGAAAAAAAAACGGCGTCCAGTTGGCTAAGAAATGACGATCGACGATATTTCCCATATAAAATGACAGCGACCTTCATTTCATAGCCATCGCTGACGCCGTTTTTTCTCGATCATACGGTATAATACTGCAAGGGTAGATTAAATTATACTTTAAGAGCGAGGATAGGTTAAAATTTCTTCTCGTACGTTTTTTAATTGCTTCAAATTAATTGCTGAAAAGGAATACAAAAATTTTTGAAAATTTTTGTATTCCTTTTCATAAGTTATTCGGGATTTAAATGGAAGTAGTTTGGATATGGCGTTTGTCGCCTCAGCATGAATATCTGTTGGTAATTTACTTATTTCGTTTTGAGCCATTTCTGGCTCCAATTCAATCAGCAATCGACACGAAAGAGAATTAGCCCAAAAACTAAAGTGAAAGTCAAATTTCCTTAAATTAATTAACAAAAAGAAAACATTTGATGGGAACTTTATCTGCACCACCATATACCGGGTGTTTATCAAAAGTGGCTCACCCCTATAACTTTTTGATTTGTTAAGATAAAAAAACGAGATTTGATAAATTAGTATACCCACATAATTTTTCGGTAACTTGCTAATTTACCAGAAATTACTACAACTTTTGATTTTTAAATGACATCCTCCAGTATGATTTTCCTTTATCCCATAGAAAATGACAATCTGAATAGGTTAACATATCATATGTCAACTCTTGACATTCTCGCTTAAAATAATATATTTTTTAAAAATTCTCGCCAAATAATATATTTGATCATATCTCATTTTTTCAAATGGAACATGGGTAGTTCACGGTAGTTCATTAGCATATTTGGAAAAAGGATTTTGATACGAACAATTTGGTACCGCACATACTTGATATTTCTAGTCAAATTGGCGTTCCATTTATGGCCATGGCACTGTAGATTGAAATTAAAATGCTATTTTTTAATTAAAAATGTCAAAAGTTGACATATGTCATTCTGCTTAGAATGTCATTTCCCATCAAATAAAGTGAAAAAATACCGAGGGTGTCATTTAAAAATCAAAAATTGTAGGTATTTCCGGTGATTCAGGAAGTGAACAAAAACAATTGAATACGTCCAATGAATACGTCAAACAATCCTAATTTATATAATATACTAAAATACCAAATCTCTTATTTATCTGAACAATTAAAAAAAGTTATAGGGGTGAGCCACTTTTGAAAAACAGATGGTATACTTTATTATTATCAATATTTGAATAAAATGTTATATCATAATTCAAGAAATCTCAAGAAGAGCAACTAAAATTACCTTACCTTTTCACACTAAATATTTTAATTATTTTCTATTAGATACTATTAATTATGTTATACTATAATTACATTGCAACTCAAAATTAACAAAGTAAATAGATAAGCGACCCTGACCGACACTTGTCTTCTAACAATGACTTGAAATTATCAGTCGGTATTGTTCTAGTTGCTTTAGCACTTCTAGCGTCTACCGAAGATTGACATCTCTCATCTCATTATTCATTGATTTATTGTTGTGTGAAATCATTATAACTACGCCTCTAATCCAATTATGACGATTATATTAATTGTGTCGTTATTGACAAACAGAATTCTTTTAATAGGTTTTTTGTTCGAGAATTATGTTGTAAAATGTGGCAATTCCGAAGGCAAATAATGCGGCGTGAATTACTAAGAAACACAGGAATTGTTTGTTTTAGATTCCTGTCAATAATACGTTTAAAAATGAGTATCTTAATTCTTAATCTTCTTCTGATACATGCTCCTTTAATGGAGAAGCTCTTCAAAATTGTATTGTTTTCCAGTTCTTATTATACAGGATGGTCCGAAATGTATTCCGGAAACTTCGCCAGCATATTCTGCAGATAAAAATAAATAAAAAATGTATGTCCTAAAATGCTTACTTTCGAAGATACAGGGTGTAGAAGTTTCATTTTTAATTCGATTTTTTTCAAATAATTTCTGAAGTAACGTCAATATCTAGATGAAAATTGGCGTCTGGAAGTTTTTTGATATGAGAAATTTGATTTTGACGTTAATATGACTCCTATTTGTAAGGGGCGCCACCTACATGTGTTTTAACTGTTTTGAAGAGTAATAGCTTTTTGTCCATACCCCGTACCTGTATAAAACTTCTATAGGTGAAAAAATATACATTTCCGTGATTTTTTACGTAAAAACTGTCTTTTGGTAAAAATCGATATAACAAAATAGATTCAGCAATAAACAGAAAGTTGTTATGGGGCTTTCTTGTATGCATTTTCGTAGCTATAAGTACCTTTATTAGTGTTTGAATTTAAGCTTTGTAACCCCTTCTTTCTTGTTTCAGAAAACCCTCAACAATTACAATAACTTTACCTCAAGAATCTACCCAATCTATGACCAATTCTGCTATCCAGCTCATCGAGAGTAAACATGGAAGATATCTCAATATTTCAAATACAACAGGCTTTGACAACATCACTAGTGGTACAACATATGGTAATATATAGAATTTCTTTATATATTTATATAAAATGCATTTACATTTCTTAGATATAATATTTTTAGTTAACTATTGATTATAAAATTGAGGATGATAACAACAGTAGCCTACTTCGTAATAATTATACAGGGTGTTTCAAAAATGTGCAATGTCTCGTGGGGAAATTCCTCACGTAAAAATAAAATTTATTTTTCATATCAACATAGGTCCGATTCTGCTTTATTTCGTAGCTACAGGGTGTTAAAGTTTTAATATTTTTTCGCTTTATTATAATTTTCTTTCAAGTACTTTTAGCGTTTCGAATGAAATTTTGAGGGTAAAAGTTACTATAAGTGCGACATATTTTAAAGCCAAAAAAGTGTCGACATATATTCTCCAGGGACGTGCATATGGGTTATTACTGGAATATTTTTCTAAAAAAATCATGTACGCCACTGACTTTTTTTTCTCTTGTTAGATATGTCTTTTGATATTTTGTCGTTTTCGGTCTCCTTGATGAGATAAACGCAATTTTATTAATTTGCCTTGATCCAAGTCTAATAGCAACCTTTAAAAAATTGTAATATCATTAACTTGCGAAAATTCTAAATAAGTACTCTTTGATTTCTCATAAAAAATATGAAAAAAAGTTTCTATAAACATGGGTATGGAAATGCATAGTTTCAGAATTACAGGATGTTAAAACTTGCATTTATCTCATCAAGGAAGCCGAATTCGACAAGATGATATCAAGAGATAACTTTTAATTGATATTAAATGGCCTACACAATTTTGACAACAAAAGAAAAAAAGTTTTTTTTTTGAAAAATTTTCCATTGATAATCCATAGGCACATGCACGTCACCGATGCATTTATCGACACTTTTTTAGCATTAAAATACGTAGCACTTGTAGTACTTACAGTAAAATTTACCCTCAAAACTTCATTCGAATCACTAAAAGTATTTGGAAGAGATTTATAAGAAATCTAAAGATTATTAAGACTTTAACACCCTGTAGCTTCGAAACAAGCAGAGTCGGATCTATGTTTATAAGAAAAATAAATCTTATTTTTGCGTGAGGAATCTCCCGACGAGAGATAGCACATGTTTTTTGAAACACCCTGTATAGACGTATATTTGTTTTTAAAACAGATTGTTTTTCCAGAAATGTCATCAACCACGATACTACCTGTGTCCAGTACAACTCCAGCAATTACAACTCCAATTCAGATAATAACAACACCAGCCCGTCCAGTGGATATCAGCTGCCTCCCTCTGAACCTCATGGGCGAGATGGATCATTTGACTCAGGAGGAATTCACCTCGAAGCTCACAGATTCCTGCAGATATGACAGATTAATCAAGCCGGTGACCACTGAACCTTTGCAAGTGAACATGCAGATCGATCTTACTCATATTGAGTCAGCTGATGCACAGGTTAATATAAAATAGTTATTTACAGTACAAGTGTGTTTATGAACATGATTACAACGAGTGTGAACGATTAGAGTCGTTCTAATCACACGAGTGTTGTAATCATGTTTAAACGCACGTGTCATGTACAACGTTTTATCTACAACCGAAAAATAAGAAAATGCTGTTTTAATTTTCGTTTATTAGTCGCCCACCTTTAACACCTTTAACTATGACATTTGTCACATTTTTTTCTGAAAAATCAGTTTGCCCTGCCAAGTAAACGCCATGTAAACGCGAGCACTTTTTGCCCAGAAAAATCATTTTAAAAATTACGATGAGCGATTCCGAAAGTCTCCCTTCAGATGTAGAAGCTGCCGCAGTACATGCCACAGAGTCATTATTGCCGGAAAAGTTAATATATTTAGATGTTCGTAGTTGTTTTTCTTTATTATACAAACTAGTTGTGTTATAGATTCATAACACCACTAGTTGTGTTATGAATCTCATAACGTAACTGAAATACTAAAAAAATAGTGATGTGATTGAAAAACGTTATAACTAAACAGTTGTAGATAAATACATTTACTGTACGAATAAGAAGTTTATTGATTAACCTGGCTTTAAATTAGACAGTTTAACAAAATATTCCGCAATTTTACATAATTATCCATTTGTAGTTGTCAAAATCTCGTCTGATCATTTATTTAATTATAAAGTGTTCCATTTTCGTTGTTTTAATTCGGTTGGGTTTTTCCTCGCTTATTAATAATGGGAGAATTTTGCGGTTGTTGCAAATCTTAGCTACTGACTAACTATCGATAATTAAAAGTCTCATTAACAGCAAAACATTGATAAACATTTTTTACTTTTGTTTTTTTAATATTAATTTTTTAAATCAATATTTAATTATTTAAATATTAATTTTTAACAAACGTCGAAATCGATCAATTAAGTAATTAATTTTTTACATTTTTTAAAAACTTTTAATTTTTAAATTACACCCTCAATGATACCCTCTGTACTTTTTTACTTGAAAATGAGACTCTGAATAGAATGACATATCACATGTCAACTTTTGACATTTTTGCATATGATTTATTTGAAATTGTAACATGCGATTTATAGCGGCAATTTGACTCGAAATACCAAGTGTGTGGTATCAAATTATTCGTAAAAAAATGCTTTTTCCAAATGTGCTAACGAGCCACCCTCGTTCCATTTGAGAAAATTGAGATATGATCAAAAATACGATTTGAGCATCTTTTAACCGGCCAGGGCAAGACACGAAAAATATTAGACGATTAAATCTACTTCTCCAAGGCTCCTTGATTAAAAATTAGTGTTTTTAAAATAGCCATGGTACTCTAGACTGAAATTTAAAATACAATTTACAAAGTGTAATTTTCTATCGAATAAGGTAAAAAATACCGAGGGTTCCATTTAAAAATCAAAAATTGTAGTCATTTTAGGCGAAACGGGAAGTGACCGAAAACAACTGAATACCGTCAATCAATCCTAATTTATATCATATACTAACATACCAAATCTCGATTTTTAATCCGAAAAAAATAAAAAGTTATAGAGGCGAGAAACAACATGCTTGTGAGAAACACCCGGTATAATTAGACAAATAATAATGTTTATTTGCGCTATTTATATAATCCAACATTTATTTGCGCAATCGTATTTACATTTAAATTTGTCTGGGAAATTTTATGTAAATTTAAATGGTATACACAGTGTCCCATATAAGAATGTCACTCCACAGCGATCTCGAAAACCAGAAGTATACCCTCTGGTTTTCGAAACGATTAAATTTGAGAAAAGTTAGATACGCTTAAACCAAACGTCTTATATCATATACCGAAGATATTTACAAACAACCAAAGTTTTCCGATTTTGTAGATTCAGATTCAGATTCAGATTATATATCTGATATATTTATCTAATTCTGAGATATATATCTGATATATTTATCTTCTTTCTATTTGAAATTATATCTACTTACATGTATACTAATATATAAAATCCTTAAGTGACTGACATACTGATTAATCACGATCCTGCTCAAACCACTGCACGTAAGAAGCTCAATTTTGGCATACAGGTTGATTCTAGGGTGTAGAGGTTCGATAAGAAGGGATTTTTCGAAATTCCGGTTCCAAGGGGGTGAAACCACCCCTCAAATATTACAATATTTTTTATTTAAAAAACGGTTAAGTTTCCGAAAAAAAGCTTAAACGCGTATATTTTATTTTGTTTTTTTACATAATTTAAGATTTTTTAAAAATGTATACAGGGTGTTTCGAAAAATCTGATTATTGATTAATCACGATCCTGCTTAAAGCGCTTGATGTAAAAAGCTGATTTTTGGAAAACAGATTGACTTTAGGGTATAGATAGATACTGATTAATCACGATCCTGCTCAAACCACTGCACGTAAGAAGCTCAATTTTGGCATACAGGTTGATTCTAGGGTGTAGATATTCGATAAGAAGGGATTTTTCGAAACTCGAATTCTAAGGGGGTGAAACTATCCCTCAAATATTAAAATATTTTTTATTTAAAAACCGGTGAGTTTTTCGGAAAAAGTCTTAAACACGTATATTTTATTTTATTGCTTTACTTTTAAGATTTTTTATAAATTTATACATGTTGTGTTGTGTGTTTCATAAAATAAACACATGGGTGTTTCATAAAAGTTGACCATTGAGTAATCACGATTCTGCTTAAACTGCTTGACGTTTAAAGCTGATTTTTGGCAAACGGATTGACTGTGGGGTGTAGAGGTTCGATAAGGAGGAGTTTCTCGAATCTGAAATTCCAAGAGGGTGAAAACGCCTCAAATATTACAATATTTGTTATTTAAAAAACGGTTAGTCTTTCGGGAAAACGCTTGGACAAGCATAATTTATTTGGTTTTTTACATATTTTGAAATTTTTTAAAAAATCATACAGGGTGTTCCAAAAAGTTGGGTAATTTCTTAACCACAATTCTGCTTAAACTGCTTGACGTAAAAAGCTTATTTTTGCCAAACGGATTTTTCGAAAGTCAAATTCCAACGAGATGAAACTACCCCTATATAACCAAGTTATATAATAATATTGCCATATTGTTTTTTCTCATGCTGACATAAATGTGAGAAAATTTTACCCAGTTTGTATGTTAATGGAAATGCTTGCTTTGCTTTATCATCACCATTAACAAATGACTAAGAAGCTCAATTTTAGCATGCAGGTTGATTCTAAGGTGTAGAGGTTCGATAAGAAAGGATTTTTCGAAATTCCAGTGCCAAGGGGGTGAAACCACCCCTCAAATATTACAATATTTTTTATTTAATAAATGGTTAAGTTTCCGAAAAAACGCTTAAACACGTATATTTTATTTTGTTTTTTTACATATTTTAAGATTTTTTAAAAATGTATACAGGGTGTTTCGAAAAATCTGGTCATTGATTAACCATGATCCTGCTTAAAGCGCTTGATGTAAAAAGGTCATTTTTGGAAAACGGATTGAATTTAGGGTGTAGAGGTTCGATAAGAAGGGATTTTTTGAAACTCGAATTCTAAGGGGGTGAAACCACCCCTCAAATATTAGAATATTTTTTATTTGAAAAACCGGTGAGTGATTAACCACGATCCTCCTTAAAGCGCTTGACGTAAAAAGCTCATTTTTGGAAAACGGATTGAATTTACGGTGTAGATGTTCGATAAGAAGGGATTTTTCGAAACTCGAATTCTAATGGGGTGAAACCACCCCTCAAATTTTAGAATATTTTTTATTTAAAAACCGGTGAGTTTTTCGGAAAATCTCTTAAACTGGTATATTTTATTTTGTTTTTTTACATATTTTAAGATTTTTTAAAAATTTATACAGGGTGTTTCATAAAATATGACCATTGAGTAATCACGATTCTGCTTACACTGCTTGACGGTTAAATCTGATTTTTTGGCAAATGGATTGATTTTGAGGTGTAGAGGTTCGATAAGGAGGGGTTTCTCAAATCTCCAATTCCAAGAGGGTGAAAACGCCCCTCAAATATTACAATATTTGTTATTTAAAAAACGGTTAGCCTTTCAGGAAAACGCTTGGACACGCATAATTTATTTTGTTTTTTTACATATTTTGAAATTTTTAAAAAAATCATGCTGTGTGTTCCAAAAAGTTGGGTAGTTGATTAACCACGATTCTGCTTAAACTGCTTGACGTAAAAAGCTTATTTTTGGCAAACGGATTTTCATATTCCAGGAAGTCATATTCCAACGAGATGAAACTACCCCTCAAATATTACCAAGTTATATAATAATATCGCTATATTATTTTTCCCATGCTGACATAAATGTGAGAAAATTTTATCCAGTTTGTATGTTAATGGCAATTCTTGCTTTGCTTTATCATCACCATTACAAATGATTAATTCGACGCGAAGGAAGTCGCGGATACACGCTAGTAACTATATAAAATTCAAAATCTTATTCACATTCCCACAATCACCACAGCTGCTTTTCCTGCTCTACAAATTGATGTTATTATATTTTCCATCTGACACATTTCATTTCGGACACCATCATCAACTTACTTTATTTTTTTATATTTCGTACCTTCATTTCATTTTTAAAAGCTTATGACTAAAAGCGATTGACTTAAAATGCAAATACAGTGATTTAACACACTTGCCCAAAATATGTATAATAAAATATATTTCTATAAGCGGCAATGTGTTGGAGGGAGATCGGTTATGGGATCATATGATCATGCGTGTATAAAGGAAAAGCAACATTGAGTGTGTTATATCATTGCATTTGGGAGTGCAAAGATCTTTTAGAAAGGAAATAAATAACTCAAATAAAGTTGAATATACTTAGTATGAAAGAAACGTCATATTGAAAATGTAATAACACCGATTCGTAAAGCAATATAATTACCTATAGAAATATAAAATTTGTATTGTTACATATTTTAAAATGAGTCAGAAAAATATAACATCTAAATCAGGAGAATCTTCTTTGTATCTCTTTTGCAAGTACGGTCTTACAACTGAGAAAAATCAAATATTTTTCTTGGTTTAAGTAAGAACAATCTTCGGATTGTCCCGGGGTTGTTAACAGGACGAGTGTCCTTGGAGGAGAGTCCTAAGGAGAGTTCCTTAATGAACACCTCAGTAAATTGAAGCTAATAAACAACGGCGAATAGAGATTCTGTGGGGAAAATGGGGAAACACCAGAACACCTTATCAGTGAATGCGCCGAAACGAAAACCATTCGTTCCATAAACTTTGTTACGACCAAAAAATATTTTAAAATTATAATATTCTTTGGGACAACTGATTTTGTCAAAGCCCTGAGACTGTATGATAACTCAAGACAGGGGGATACAATAGATCTATAAGGTCGCGGTGATTAACTTCCTCCGTTGAATACAATTTAAAACCTACAATCTCTTTGCTGTACGAGATCTCTGTATTATGTGTTTCTTAAGTATAGAACACCTTGTATATCATCGTACCAATTTAATCATTTTTGGAATAAATTTGCGCTAAAAATAAATATCTAGTTTATTTTATAATTCAATAAGGCAGCAGTACTTGTCTATTTATTTGAATGAATGCCTCGTCATATATATGGCACCACTGTATTTGACCAGTTTGTGAAAATGTTTGCTATTACTCATACTTTAATGATATAAACTAATCTCTAACTTAATGAATCATTTTTATATACGAGTATCTCTTACTTATGTCAGACAAAATTATGTTTATCTCAAATTGATACCATATTACCAGATACATATTGCAGACATTACACACATTTATTGTTAAGTAGGGATGAGTCTTGCAGTTTAATAAGTGGTCTTGATCTTGGTGTAAGATTCTTGCTAGTCTTATACTTCTTTAATATATGTGTATATATAAAAGCTCTAAAAGCCTAAAATGCTCATGGCTTGATTGGTTATCTTTCTCCATTTGTTTCTGTCTTTTGCCTGTATTCTCCACCCATCCACTCTAATCCTTCTCAATAAGTCCTCTTCTACAAGCTTTTTCCATCTTCTTTCCTCCAAAAATCTTTCCCAGTATTTTTCTTTCCCAAATATCTAGCCTCAAACTTTCCGTTGCATTGAACGTCAACGTTTCACATGCATACATCACTATTGGTCGTATCATTGTTTGGTACATTCTAATTTTTAAACTTCTAGAAATGTTCTTACTCTTAATAATTTTCTGTAGTGCGCTGACACATCTATTTCCCGCCATTATTCTCGCCATAATTTTTTGAGTTACATTTGGATTCCTTAGAAATACGGCTCCTAAATATGTAAATGTATATCTACTTCCTCTCTCTCTCTCTCTCTCTCTCTCTCTCTCTCTCTCTCTCTCTCTCAAACTTGTATCGTTTACCTCTCTCAGAATTAATTTGTAGACATATTTCTCAAAATCCCTATCTGACCACTCCATAAATTTCGTTATCTTCTCATTAAACACTAAGCCTATTTTTGCGCTTGATTTTCTAGTCTTTTGGCCACCGATATTAGCTCTTTCCGATTTCTTGATAACTAAATCATCGGCAAAAGCTAAGCATTGGTGTCTTTTTGTATACAGAAGGTTTGGTTAGCCTTCCCCCTCTCTGTTGATTTCCGTATCATTTATAACTTTTTCTAATACTACAGTAAACAGTACTCGAGATAGTAGATCCCTCTGTCTTAATCCGTCCCTGCTTATAAATTTTTCCGTTGTTTTCTTGTTTACTTTGACTTCATCTACTGTCTCTTGGAGTGTCAATTTTATCATCTTGATGAGTTTCTTGCTAACCTCTAATTCTGTTAATGCTCTAAACACCTCCATCCTTTTAACTTTTTTATATGCCTGCTAAAAGTCGATAAATAGGAGCATTGTCTGTTTTCCGTATTCATAACTCTTCGCTTGTTTCTCCAAGGGTAAATATTTGGTCAACAGTACTTCTCCCTTTCCTAAATCCACATTGGTACTCTCCAATTTTCTCATCAATCTCATGCACTAATATTTCTATTATATATTTTGCTAGTACTTTATACGCTACATTTCCGGGACTTTTGTCATTCTTTAAATATATGTGTACTAGAGGCAATTTCTATTTAAAAACTATTTAAATAAATTTAAATAAATAGTTTTTTTAAGTAATTTAAAGCAAATGAAACTTTGAAGAAAGAAACAATATTTCAGTGATAAAATTTTTAGCAAAAGTCGGAAAACACCTCGGAAAACACTAGATATGTGCAATAAATTAAAACATTAATTTTAAACCAATTAGTAACATTTTATATCATATTTATTTATTTGAGTGATCTTTATTATTGAACAATTAAAAACACTACCATACTGTAGACAGTTGATACTCATTCTTAATTATATTTTTAATCATGTTTTTCTCGTCAATACCATCCGTTAAACATAAATAACCGTTTCTTTACTGTTTGTTACAGCAAATCAAGTCGTATATCTTCGTGCAATTAATCTACCAAGACAATCGACTTAAATACGACACATTCTCTCCAAAAAGAGGCAGTATTCAAGGGGAAGAACCTTTGAGAAATAAAATATGGGTTCCTCATTTAATAGTTAGGAACGAAAGGTATCAAAGGTATCTCTTTTAGAGTGATTTTCTTAACAAACTAACGTATTTTTTCATTGCTCAGAGAGTCATCTCTCATGGGTCTGGATGGAACCGACGTCTTCGTTCAGATTATGCCTAATGGAGGCGTAACCTATTCCTACAGAATGACATTAACGTTTTACTGCTGGATGGATTTGCAGAAGTTTCCTTTCGACGTTCAAATTTGTGAAATTACATGGATAAGTTGTAAGTATAAATTTCATCAAGTTTTACCAATGAACCCAAAATCAAGAGAGTTTCTAATTTCGCAATTTACTGGTTTTATACAGGGTTCTGCAAATTCGAGGTACGAGTATTGTTATCTTGAAAACCGTAATAGATACGAAGATGGTTAAATTGGGGCAAAGTTGCTCCTTGGGATATTTACCAAGATTTACCAATTGTTAAAAAAGGATTCCTGAGTTTTTTGAATATCAATTTTATTTTTTCCTGTCGTTACTTTTTAGAAAATCAAAAAACTAATTGCACATTCTCATAGCCACTTTATCAGGGCTATCTGATTATATAGTATTTTTAGATTTTCAAATTAGTTGATAATTTGTGAGATACAGAGGTCAACTTTTTTTTTAATACGGACCTGAATTTTTTATTTCAGGTTTTGAAAGAATTCGGACTTCTGAGTACAATGATATGCCACACGTGATACTTTTTTGTTTTGGGCACCTTAACAATAACAAAACTATTTAGTCCGACTCTGTTTTTTTCAATTTATTTAATCTGATTATATTCATCGCAACAATATTGATCAGTGCTAATTAACACCGAATAAGGAAAATCGAGCCAATTGAAAGATTGAAATAAATAATATCCAGGTCAGCAATTTAAAGATTATTTTTAACGTGATTTTTTTATGTGAATTTGAAATTTCAGTGTACTATCTAATAATATGCATAATATTAGTCGTAGTTATTATAAATAAATCAACTTTTACAACCTAGTTTCTAATGCTCTACATGTCGAAAAGGTTTGATTGTTGAGGGAAAATTATTTGATTGTTTATATTATATTATATTTATATTATTTTTTATTATTTTATTGCATTTGATTTTCCGTATTCAATGTTTTACCCCACGTCATTGTTAAGTTCGAAAGCTTATCAATATTGTAACGATGAATAGATTAAATATTAAAAAAAACAGAGCCGGACTTGAAATTAGTTTAATTTTAATAACAAAAAAAAATTAAATGTGGCATATCATTCTACTCAGGAGGCCAAGTTCTTTCATAATAATAATATAATAATAGCTCCGTTTAACGCCTTGGGAATAACAAGGTACAGCTTGCCATGCTAGAGCCGTTCGGTATACAAGGAAGGTAATATGGCTAGCACTACGCTTTAACCGCCTATTATTACGTCAGGATTGTGAATCCCAAGTACTCATTTAAGGCTGCGTCGACCTAGGTACCCAAACTATTTTTATTTTAATAAAAATAGTCGGCTGATGAAATGCCGGGTGTAGGATTCAAAATCTTCTTCAAATTCATGTTCTTTCAAAATCTGAAATAAGAAATGCATCAGATCCGTATTTAAAAAAAATTAACTTGGCCTCTGTATCCCACAAATTATCAGATAATTTGAAAACATAAAAATACCACCAGATAGCCCTAATAAAGTGACTATGAGAATGACAGGAAAAAATAAAATTGATTTAAAAAAAATCGTTTTTTTTTCAAAAATCTCAACAATCATTGAAATTTTTAAAACTTTTTTGATGACATCTTGATGAACATCCTAAAGCGCAACTTTGCCCCAATTTAATCATGTTCGAATCTATTACGGTTACTGAAATACCATTGCTCGTACCTCGAATTTGCAGAACCCTGTATAATACATTGGACGACAAAACATTACTGTTAACATTTAACTAATCTACTACAATACACCAAAGCATTATTAGGGGAGATCAAAAATGATTGAAATAGTTGTCGGGACTATGCAGTTAGATGATTTTGAATTTTGATCAGTGATTGGTACTGATGCTACAACAAGTTTTGACTTTCATCATCATCATCATCAACCAGCCACTAAAGTCCACTGCTGGACGTAGGCATCCCTCGTTTTCTTCCATAACTCTTCCCTCGTTTTCTTCTCCATCTTCAGCTATTTGCATCCAGTAACTGTGGATACGTCTTAAGTCATCATGCCATCTGGCTGGAAAACGGCCTCTGCTCCTGAATGCATCATGTCTTGGTCTCCATTCTATTATTTTCTTCGTCCATCGGTCATCGTTTAGCCTTGCAATGTGCCCTGCCCAATTCCATTTCAATGTAATTATTTTCTCTATGGCATCAATGACATCTTCTTCTTTGGAGCTATCTCAGAGATAGCCCCAACATTGATCTTTCCATTGCTATTTGCGTTATACTTGCGGATACGACAAATACGCGGATAATTCAAAGTTTATGAATTATCGCCTAGTCAAGCTTCTTTAATATTATTTTGAACGATATATTACCCGAGAAAAAATAGGAGGATAACCTACAAAAAGAAATGAGATCCCATCAAAAACATAGAATGTAAAAAATACCAAGTCTCGCAACACAATTCTTCCACTATAAGAAGTTGTGAGATCTCATGTAAAACCAAGCCAGTTTATTTTATTTATTCTCTCTTTAAGCACTTATTCAACAATTTTGTTATAAATTGTTAGTATATTATAGTAAAATTCTTTTTTAACCCGTTCTCTGTTTAATGTTTCTTTGATGTTAAATGCTTGTTCAATTCCCAGATACTTGTATTCTTGTTCGATACCTATTCCTTCTATTGATGTTCCATCCATCAGTGTTATAGTTTCCGGATCCTGGACTTTACCTTTGGTTATATGTATCCTCGCGCATTTGTCAATTCCCAGTTCCATATGGACTGCCGCACTAAAAGCTGTTACTGTTTCTAATTGGCTGCCAAGTTGGTCGGGACCCCTAGCATATAATTTAAGGTCGTCCATATAGAAAAGGTGCGTGATTGTGGTGTTAGGACTTATTTTGTATCCGTGTGGGCTACTAAGGGGGTTAAGGGCAAGACAGAACCAAAGTGGACTAAGGCTATCTCCTTGGAATATTCCTCGCCTGATAGGGAGCCGCTCAGTGATGTAAACCTCATTTTTACCATTGACTTGTAAAACTGTGCTCCAAGTCTTCATGAGATGTTTTAAAAGATCTGCAATTTGTTTGTCGACTTTATATATTTCTAGCACACGAAGTAGCCAAGAATGCGGCATGGAATCGAATGCTTTGCGGTAATCTATCCAAGCCACAGACGCATTTCGAGTCTTTATTTTAGCGTGTCTTGTAATGCTTGTGTTTATCACTAGGTTCTCCTTGCATCCTCTTGCCCCTTTCCTGCATCCATTTTGCTCCCATGCCATTATTTGGTTTTGCGAGACGTATTCGCCTATTTTTTTTGTCATTATAGATGTAAGTATTTTATATGCCGTTGGAAGGCAGGTGATAGACCTATAATTTTTTTGTTCTTGTAGGTCTCCTTTTTTTGGTAACATTATTGTGATTCCTCTAGTGAAAAATTCTGGGATACACGCAGGTTTATTAAGAGATTCGCTAAATTGGCGTGCGAGGGCATTGTGACTGGATGTTATCTGCATCCACCAGAAATTATGAATCCCATCTGGTCCGGGGGCTGCCCAGTTTTTTATTGTTTTGGGTCCATGGGTAATATCCTCTGTTCTAATTTGTATGTTTTCCATGGGTTGGACGTTTGCCCATTTATCAGTCTCCTCCTGTATCCAGAACGCTCTATCTTCGTGTTGTACGCCTACACTCCAGATATCACTCCAATATGCGAACATGTTTTGACGCTGATGGCGCGTGTTATTTACTTGATTTCCGGCTGTGCTGAGTTGTGGGTAAAACTGTTTTTGGTTTTTTGTAAATAGAAGATTTTCTTTATAACGTTTGGTTCGCTTTCTGTACCTCTTGAGTCTGTTAGCATATGCTTTTAGTTTCTGCCTCAATTTTTCACGATGTTCCTCTAGGAGCATCGCGCGGAGATAACGCGGATTTGACGGTTTGATTTTTTCATTTTTTGCCAGCTGAAGAATTTTATGCTTGAGTTTTTTTGATGGTGGTGTTTTGGGTTTTAGAATTGCGTACAAAGTTCCAATTTGTTTTCTAGTGTTGTCGATTTTCCTTATCAGTCTGTTTTCCCATGGGGGCGAGCTGTGTTCTTTGGTGATATTGCTAGCTGGTTTTATTTTTAGAATTTCACAGATTGTAGCTGCCGCACAGTATATAAGATGACATGTCTCTTCCAGACTCCCGCTGTCGTCCATTATTGGTTTTACAATATTGTTGATCTTTCGGCAAAGTTCTTTACTTTTTCGGTCACTAGGGATTCTACTTATGTTAGGCCTTGCCTCCAATCTTATTCCCCTGTAACTTAAGTCGATATCGTGAAAAACGGCTTCGGACCTCTGGCTCATTTGGAATTTCTGTTTGTAATTCTCCAATGTTTTGTTGACGAATGGATGCTTTTATTTGTTCTATCTCTGCTAGAGTGAATACGTTCGTTCTTATTATTGATCTGACTTGGCCAGAGAGGCATTGTGCATCCATCTTCATAGTTGGCTGTTCTGTAATCCACTCAAGGGCGTAGATAAGGGGGGGTACTGGGGGACAGTACCCCCCCCCTGACGCTTGACGAGATACGAGAATTGAAATAGTCATTGACTATGAAAGGATTTTTTTTAATTAATATCCGACATATAAGAACACTTTGTATGCTTTTAATTATGTTGATTTATCGTTTATAATATGTTCGACCTAATTAAAAGCACACAAAGTGTTCTTATTGGCCAGGACAGATTAGTGGGGTTAACTCTAATCAATACCCATAAAGATATTGAAATAAATGTTGATGCTGTTATTGATAGGTTTTCCAAACAGCGTACTAGAAAACTTGATTTTGTTTTGTAGTTTTATTTATAGTTTATAGTTTTTATATTTTTTTTTGATAGTTTAGAGTTTTTTATTTATAGTTTATAGAAAATTAACTAATAAACGTCGTTGTTTCATTTTTGTTTATGTTATTTACAAATCTATATTTTAATTTTTGTGTTATGTTTTTATATCTTTTTGAAGACAAAAAAATCGCCGTCGTTTTAATTCGACAAAAAAATTCCGACGGTGATTTTTTTTGCGACTTAATCATAGTACCACCCCCATAGCATACACCTATCTACGCCCCTGAATCCACTCTAATTCCAATTTTGTTCTATAAGCGGTTAAGTCCGTTTCCAAATTTGTAGCACGATAGTACGCTCTAAGAAGTGCTATATTAAGCTGCTTAGTCCAGCGCATACGCCTTTTTGTTATAAATTGTTAGTATCAATATTAATCATCTTTGTTTCTGTAATAATTATAATGACTTGGCAAATGCAAGATATGATAATATCTATACTAATTAAAAAGCTTTATTTTTAAGGGCACTGTTTATACAGGGTGAGTTTCCTACAATGTTCTCTATGGGTATCTCGGAAACTACTAGAGATAGAGAGTCGGTTAAATGGGGAAAGAATTGCAGTTTTGTGGGGTCATAAATATGCGCCTTTCAGATTTTTGAAAAAGTTTATGGCTTACTAGATATTTGGAAAAAAACAAATTTCGGCTATTTTAAAAATTGCCCCTAATTCCATTATAAGCTATTTTAGACAAAAAGTTTTCAGATAAAAGTTGTAGATAATCACATCCTTAATGAGACTGTGTCCTCCGTTTTCTTCTAAAGCCTGTCATTTTTGACACATGACACCAACATATGTTTTTTTAACTGGAAACCATACTTGGCCATGACTTCATAAAAAGCGCCATTTTTTAAGCTTTTCAGCGATATAAGCTATAATATGTTTTCTTCGAAAAATTACTGAGTTATAGCCAATTCTTATCATTTTCAAACAATTTCACTTAGTTTGTCATGGAAACAAGTTTAATCGCCTTTGCTCTCAGAAATGTGAAGCTGTCACATCCAAACTTTGTAAATTAAAATAAGCAAAAATTGTAAATATAAATTTTTCAAATGAAGAAAAGCGTGTAGGATTATTGGTTCAACTTTTTTTGACCATACATTTTCGAGGATACGTTGACCGGTGAATGTTACTTTTCTTAGAGAACGGTTTTAAAGACATTATCAAAAGTTAAATTTAGTTATTGCCAATTCTTATCTTTCTTGACTAATTTCAATTAAATTGCATGGTATTCTTATTCTGTTATGATTTATAACTTAAAAAAAGTCAGATTACTAAACGGTTCCTTACAATTTACACTACACAAACTAAAACTTAAAAAAATAATATCACTGCATACACTTTAAGTTAGTTTAGAAAGTGTTCAAAAAATCCGCATTGTTTTGAGTTGCATCTTTTTAAAACTGAATTACTACCTATTCTCACAGAAGGACCGGTCGACTTAATTAAACTTCTCTCGTACCGCCAATTCGAGTGCCTCTCTTAATTCATAAATTCTTTTGTAAACTTGATTGTTAACCATACCGCATAAAAAATTCTAAAATGGATAGGTCAGATGATCAAGGAGGCCCATGCAATTGGTCCACCTCTTCCTATCCCTAAGTTTGCATAATTATGATATAAATAATTTTTAACATTTCTTTCATTATGGGGGGAGTCATAATGAAAGTGATGCAAGAACCACTCTATTGATGCGCGAGTATCTACACGCTTTTCTTCATTTGAAAAATTCATATTTACAATTTTTGTTTATTTACAAAGTTTGGATGTGACAGCTTCACATTTCTGAGAGCAACGGCGATTGAAGTTGTTTCCATGGCTAACTAAGTGAAATTATTTAAAAATAATAAGAATTGGCTATAACTCAGTAATTTTTCGAAGAAAACATATTATAGCTTATATCGCTGAAAAGCTTAAAAAATGGCGCTTTTTATGAAGTCATGGCCAACTATGCTTTTCATTTAAAAAAACATATGTTTGTGTCATATGTCAAAAATGACAGGCTTCAGGAGAAAACGGAGGAGAGTGTCTCATTAAGGATGTGATTATCTACAACTTTTATCTGAAAACTTTTTGTCTAAAATAGCTTATAATGGAATTAGGAGCAATTTTTAAAATAGCCGTAATTTGTTTTTTTCGAAATATCTAGTAAGCCATGAACTTTTGCAAAAATCTGAAAGGAGCATATTTATGACCCCACAAAACTGCAATTCTTTCCCTATTTAACCGACTCTCTATCTCTAGTAGTTTCCGAGATACCCATAGAGAACATCGTAGGAAACTCACCCTGTATATACTTAGTAATTGAAATGGTAGAATATTCTTTTATAATTATGGTGCTGTACAAATTGGCAAGTCGTTATAATTATTACAGAAATAAAAATGACTAATATTGATACTAACAATTTGTGACAAAATTGTTAAATAGGTGCTTAAAGAGAAATTAAACAAAATAAACTGACTTTTGGTTTTACATGAGATCTCACAACTTTTTATAGTGGAAGAATTATGTTACGAGACTTGGCATTTTTTTACATTCTATGTTTTTGATGGGATCTAATTTTGTATTTTATTTCGTCACAGTAGTAATTTTAATAGTATTTACCTAATGATATACAGCGGAAATAAAAAGAATCAATTTTATTAACCAATAACAACACCTTTTTATTATAATAATATAGACTTTTGCATATTCTTGTAGCACATCTATATATTATTATTATTTCTAGGGTCGTATGACGACTTAAACTTGGTGCTGAAATGGGCCAATCAGAATAGAGTTCAAATTGCAAACAATCTCCACTTAACCGAATTTGTACTAGATTCATATTGGACAGAAGAGAATGTCTCACGTGCTTCTTTCAACACGGGTGGTCTTGGTAAGTGTGAAATTTTGAAATGCAAATACAAAAAATACTAATAAATATGTACTTTACGGCTGTTTACATAATTTGGAATAATGGGATGAATTTATACAATCTATTATGTATTAGACAATTCTAGATCGACAACATGCAAGTAACTGAAGGGTCCAGGGGAATAACTTGATAAGCGTCAGTTTCTCAATTTTAGGATTTTACGATATTATAGTAGTCTCACTGGTCCCTACAAAATGTATAAACTCTGCAGGGCAATAAATTGTTAAATCCTATGATATGTGCCTAGTAAAACTATAGAATACACGGAAAGAACTGTGATGTAAAATTAGTAAAATAGGGCTTATCAAGTTTTCCCCTGGACCCTTCAACCACACCTTCAACTGTTAAACATCATTAAACACAACGTTTGATATATTAATATTTGGTTAACTAAATTTTATTTATTTTACACAATTGTTTCTAAATTAATAATAAAATTAAACTCTAATTTTGATTCTTAGTTCTAAAATCGTCAAAGTATTTCATGCTCTTCAACTGGGTATAGTTACTTTGTAATAATGTCAATACCCCAGCGTCTGAAAAGTGGCTCACCCCTATAACTTTTGGCTCAAGTTTCGTTTAGCCGAAATCAGTTACATAGAATATCGGTTTATAGGATGATTCTATACAAGGAAACTAGCACTACATGATTTGATTTTTACCGCGGAAATTCTTATTTTTGAGAAAACTCGAATTTTAAATTTTTCTATTATTAACTAAAATTTAAAACTTTACGGTGTTTTTAATAGTTTTCTCATTATTAGAATGGCGTAAAAACATTTAATATAACGATGGAAACTAATTTCTATTCGAAAATATATTTTTATCACAATAATTTTCATTTTTTCCGGGTTTAGAAGTGCCGAAATATGATAGGTAGATAAGAACTACATATTTTTGTTTGATTAATAATTTGCTATAACTTTTTCTGCGGAAATTTATCATATGTGTAATGGTAATGGATATATCATATGTGTAATGGAAAATCTTCAATATTTCGAAGTTTTCCATAGTATACTCAACTTTTTTACAAACTTTCGGTTTGGTTTGGTTTGGTTTGGTTATTTTTTGGGTTTGGTGGTAGTGGGTTTAGTTGGTTTGGTTTGATCTGGTTTGGTTGTTTTCTTACGGTTTGGTTTGGTTTACTTGTCGTTTTTATGCTTTATTGACATTTTTTTTTAATTTTCGCATTTATTGACCATAGCGATATTAAGTTGATAAGAATAGACATTATTCATTGATCTGTGTCAAATGTCGGGAAGAAGATCACTACATAGTGGTGAAACAACGCATTTACGCGGATTTTTATTTTTGTATGAGTGCTTAAAAATAAGTCTACAATATAAAATAATATTAATTTTTTATATATCTCATTTCGTTACTTCTAAACCGTATTCAAAAAATGGCAACAGCGCATTTAGGCGGAATTTCATTTTCGTATTAGTAGTTACAAAGACGTCTAAAATATGAAATAACATTAATTTTTCATGTATGTCATTTCGTTACCGCATTCAAAAAATGGTGACGCATTTCCGCGGCAAAATTTTTTTAGTAATATACTCCCTGAGGTACCAAAATTACATTTTTTTTCTTTTTTTAACAGATTTCGGCTAAATGAAACTTGACCCTCCCTAACTTTGTTATTTTTTTCAGTTAAGAAAACGAGATTTGGTGTGTTAGTATATGACATAAATTAGGATTGATTGACGTATTCAATTGTTTTCGGTTACTTCCTGTTTCACCGGAAATGAATAAAACTTTTGATTTTTAAATGACACCCTCGGTATTTTTTTTTACTTTTTTCGATAGAAAATAACACTCTGAAAAGACAGATATATATTCTGTCAACTTTTGACATTATCGCATATGGTTTATTTGAAATTATAAATTATAATATGCGGTTCATAACGACAATTTGACCCGAAATACCAAGTGTGTGGTGTCAAATTATTCGTAAAAAATGTATTTTCCAAATATGATAATGAGCCACCCTCGTCCCATTTGAAAAATTGAGATATGAGTAAAACATATGATTTGGGCATCTTTAACCTGCCAGGACAAGATACTAAAAATATTAGACGATCTATTTTTCCAAATCTCCTTAACTAAAAATTAGTGATTTTAACATAGCCATGGCACTATAAAAAAAATACCGAGAGTGCCATTTAAAAATTAAAAGTTGTAGTCATTTCCGGTGAAACAGGACAAGTGACCGAAAATAATTAATTGAATACTAACATAATACATAACATATACTAACATACCAAATCTCTTTTTTTTATCTGAAAAAATAAAAAAGCCTATTAAAGGGGTGAGCCACTTTTGAGACGTGCCCGGTATACAGTGTCACAGAATAAGTCTCCATAATAAGAATTTTTTAATGAGCCGATTTTTGTGTGAAATTTTATGAATAGTCAATACAAAAAACATCTAATTTGTTATGGTCTTCTCTGAAAGATTTTTACGTAAAATGTCATCAGTAATAGATTTTTATTACCTAAACTCAACTATATGAAATTTATTATATTATATTTTCCAAGCTTACGTTTTACAAGATAGTAAAATGGTTTACCCTAAGAAATACATAACACCAAATATAGTTAATACTACTACAACCGCAAGAATAATGACTCCCTGGACTAAATCTTCATTTCTTTGTCGCTGATTTAATATATTTCTGAAACTTTCTAAGTACTGCACTCGTCTCTCTACAAAGATACAAAAGAGTTTGTATAGAAATGTATATGTCGCAGGCGCAGAATAATCAGACTTTTTGCAAAAAGACTAGGCATATTTTAAAACGCCGGATTTTTAAACAAAATAAGGAATTTTTATAAAAAGTCTATCTATTTTCATTCACTGTGCAAAAAGCCTAATCAGAATTAGGAATATTAAACAATGACGATATTTTCTGTACACTTCTGCAAAATGAGTGCCTGTCTTGAGTCGTTTTACAAGATGCCAAATCGGTGCGAGGTAGATTAAAAAATGATCAAAGTTTAGTCAGCTATGAGCATAAGCATATTGAATAATTTACGCTTTAATAAAAATACCCCATATTTTATACAAAAACGATAATTTATGTCAAAATTTTATTTTGTTTAGACGAAAACAACTTGAAACCTATTTCATAAATTATAATTATAAGTAACATAATTTGAAATACAAAATATATTAAAAAACCTTAACATTAATATCTCATTTAATTATTATACTCTGTAATTCGATGAACTTGCTTTCTTTTTTTTTTGGAACTTTTGTTCTTTTAGAATAGAATGAATTTAGATCTTTATAATAATCGTCCTTAACCATACTCTATTTAACAGAATTATCACTTTTTGTGCCACTATTTCCTAATTTTGAAAGAGACGTTAAAGAAATGTCGTTGGATAAATTTAGGTTAGTTTTACCAATCCCGCGTAAAATGTCTTGTACAATCTGACTAGTTTTCATTTCTTAGTAAATATCCTTCTATTGTTAAAAACGCCGGCGTTTTATAATACGCCTAGTCTTTTTGCAAAATGTTGCGAGTTATTCGATACGCCTGCGAGATATACAGGGTCACTTTTATGTATGGAAATGGTCGATTATTAGGTAAAATATAGGAGGTACAGCAAAAAGTTAAATACAAAAGTTATAGGATTTTTAATATCTATTAGCGAGTAATAAATTTAAGTATACAGGGTGGTTCATAAAGTCGTGGCACATCAAAGTTTCATTTTTTTAAATAGAACCCCCTGTATATTATTACATATTTCAATTCTAAGCAAAAATCGAAATAACACAATGTACCTCAAAGCAACCGTTTCCCAGTTACTGATTTTGAAAATATCATTTAAACAATTCCAAAAGACACATAAACAAGCCAGTAATGAGATTTTAGAGCTATCGATGTGAAAGTCTAGAAAAGAATATTCGAGAATCATATATTGAGCTGTTAAGATAAAAAAATATATGACATAACATGCTTTTTTTGAAATTTATATGACGGGACATATTATTTAAATATACACATGGGGGGGGGGGCAAAATTATTGCATATATCGTTTCAAAATATACGGAAAGGAATTTAAAGAATCTTTTTTTATACATAACTTTGATAATCTGTAATAAACATTTTTTTGTTAAAATGGATATGGTAAACAGTGTTTGTCATTTAGACCCAATATTATTACAAATTCTTGCACATTTCGATTTGTGGTCTCTTGGGTTTCAGAAGAAATTTGACCATTGTTTTAGCCTTAAACTGCCTAGAAACATTATTTCACAGTTTAATAGAGTCAGAATAGTAACACTGTCTCAACAGGGCTACCGGCAAGTTGCAATAGCTGAAATTGTAGGAGTTAATCAAAGCAATGTTTTGCGAATATTAAAAAAAATCAGGGAGACAAATGAGGTTACAGACCGGCCTGGAAGAGGCAGAAAGAGAGTTACTACTGCCGTGCAAGACCGTCAAATATCCCTAATTGCACGACGCAACCCCTTGCTTTCTAGTACTGTTATTAAAAATGAGTTAGCTTGCCTTGAAGGAGTAAATGTTTCAAGAAAGACCATAGCAAGAAGACTCCATGAGAGAGGATTCCATTTAAGGAGGCCTCTACGTCTTCCGAAGCTTAATTTACAGGACAAAATTATGCGACTACAATGGGCTGAGATGAGAGCAAATGGACCTAATTGGAATTTCGTTATGTTTAGTGATGAAACAAGAATAGGCCTAGTGTCAGACTTGCGACGAACTTTGGTCTGGAGAGCATCTGGAAGACGAGCACGCTTGAATGCAGCTCAACCCCGTGTCCCGTTTATATGGGGAAGCATTATGGTATGGGCACAAATTAACTACAACAGATGCGAAAGAACACCGAATTACGCGTTCAGGTTTCTGTGACCTTCAGAAAGAGTTCATAGACAATCCGCATCAATGTATAGTTTGGGTTATTATTAAATAATAACCCAATTATTTT